GGAGAAGAACGCCCCGGCAGACATTGAGAGTCCAACCATGAAGTAAAGAACCAGACCAAACATGGAAACCTGGAAAAGCAAGACAGGTATGTCCGCAGCAATTTGGGCGAGACAGAAAGCGGCGGGGTGGAAGTAAGCGAAGCCCTTGTGCTTGATCAACACAGGTCTTCCGGAGAAGGACTCGTTCACTTCACTCATGGCGAGCAAACTGTTGTAAAGAAGGGAGAAGAAGAGGGCACCGGATTTGATGAACAGTCCACCAGAGTTATCGGGGGCATCATAGAACAGGGAGCCGGCAATCAAGGCCTGGGCTAGTGTTGCTACCTGTTTGATGATGAAAGTAGCTTTGTCGCCCCAAAGGATTTGGTACTGGCGCTGCACACAGATCTTAACCTGATCAACGAAGCCAACGGTGAAGGGGCTGTTCTTGGGTAGGTTTTTGGAGGTTTCAAAGGCCACGCCTTGCTTGAACTCTTCAGTCCGCTCGCGAGCAAGATCGGAATCCGGGTAAGAGTATTCTGCTACCATTTGAGTATAGATCGGTGATTTTTCATACTCGGCTCGCAACGCGGAGGCGTTACGCGGGAAGCGACTCTCGAAGCCATCCCGAATTCTGCGCTCGGTCGGTACAGTGACACCAGTGAGGTAATCGGCGATATTAGAACCTTCACGGCAGATAAATCCGGCTTCTTCCATAAATGGCCTAGCTTGCTCTCTAGTGCCGTAGAAGATCTGTTCTCCTTCATCAAGAACGAGGACTTTATCGAACAAATCGTAAATGCCATTTCCAGCCTGGTAGAGAGTAACCACGGTGGAGAGATTGAGTGTGTCGGTCATAGCTCGGATAGCCTTCGTCCATTCAAGGGCAGTAGAGGCATCAAGACCACGAGTCGATTGATCCCAGCAGAAGACGGATCCTCGGGAGGCCATACATTCGATGATAGAAACTCGCTTGCGTTCACCGCCGCTAACTCCACGAACGTATTCATTACCAACCTTGGTGTTCTCAGTATGAGAGATTCCGACGGATTCGAGGAGGAACTTTTTCGATGCTTCTTGGTATTCCAAGGCAGTCATACCATCTGGCAGATGGAATGGCACCTTAAGGCGTGTGGCAAAGTCCATAGTTTGACCAACTGTTAAGGTTGGGAAGAAGATCTCTTCTTCGGTGTTCATCACAATCTGGCCTCGGAAGTTTTCAGCTTCCTTGGGCTGCATGGATCCAAAGCGAATATCGCCCTCCACTGATTTGTATCCTCCTCGTCTGTTGGCAAGCATTTTCAACAATGTCGTGCAGCCAGAGCCGGGGCGGCCCAGCACAAGCAACATTTCACCGGGTTTCACGCAACCATGGCTCTTGTTGAGAATCGTCTGTAGAGGAAGCTTTCGCCGGCCCTCTTTGATTTTGGTGGGAATATTGAACTGGGAGAGGACCGTCTCATTCACAGCGGCCTCCGAGCTTGTTACCTGCACGCTGAGATTCTGCCATGTGACGCCAAGTTCCTGCTTTTTGAATCCAGCAGCCAACTTACGATCGTTCTCCTCCTGGAGCTTGGTCAACATGCTCCAGTCATTTCCTTTGAGGTTGAGGCTCTCCTTGCCGGGAGTTTCGTCGCCTGCGATCGTCATGGCGCTTTCGGTATCGAATTGGATCCCATCGGAGCTTGCGCCCAGTCCTTTTTCTGACCCATCCATCGTGGCAGGGAATAGAGAAGGGGGGGAGGCGTTGAAAGAGGTCGAATAGTACAACACGCAGATATCAACTTGGGAGACGCCATCCTTTTATGAGAATGTTAGGGTTCCACTGCAGCGGCCCCGTAAAGCCGAGGCCGACGCAAACATTACTTTATTATTGGCAGCATCGGGATTTCGGTGGGGAGCCTTAATTGATAAAACAGATCTTTCGCTCTAAGACCCCTGTGAAGAGTCAGAAATTGATAACCTAAAAGGGTTCGGAGGAACTCTCTTGAATCCGAGCCGCTGACTAATCGGTTTATTCGCTTACCCCAACCTCCGATTGGAGTCTTGGCACCACGCCGTCTCCATAAGTGTACGCTGCAACTTTACTCCGTAACTACTGAAACTACCCAAGGAATTAATTGTGGATAAACGCCGAAGGCCGAGGACCATGTTCATTGGATGAAACTAGTTGCTTGTGGTAAGAGTATCCATGGATGACACAATTATAGACACAGAGCTTGCCTGCTATCTCATCTTACTAAGCGGCCGCAATACCCGCGGACATAACAAACCCGCGCCCATTGGACATCTGGATGTTGAATCTGAGGTGATTCGATAGATTCGTCCATGATAACAAGATCTGATACCCAGATGCATGCACATACAACTCTGATCTCCTGACCGACTTTCGATTCATCATATACTTGCTAACCTTGGAAGAAAGCAGGGAAGACCTAAGATCAGGCACCTTGGATAGAAAAGCCACCAGCGAGGCCATCACGTAACGTTATTGAATGTTGCCTAAACAGCGATCTAGCCCCGGAGCCCTGGAGCCTAGTAGGGCTTACTTAAGCTCATATACAACATAGTTAGGCCAGAGACTGAAACCTCGTATTCCCGAGCTCGGCCTTTGAGCTTATCTAAGCCCATTTTTCCCAGGTCCATGGATCCATTGTTCTCTAGAGATCTTACATAGGTCTTGAATATGTCTCCATTTGACCGAAATGCCCGTGTTAAAGATCCACCTTCGCTTCTAACCAGAGTCTTTGAATGTTGTAAAGCTTGGCAAGTTGCCTCGACATGCAATATATTTCAAATCATCTCGAGCCAGATGTATCAATTGACTGAACTAAATCGCGAAGCGCAGAGGCCGCATAGATTATCCATTATTGTAGGTAGTCATATACCTATCTACAAACATTTAGCTATATATGTGCAGATGGTGAGCATATACAAACACAAGCCCTCCGCTCCTCAGGCCTCGGAAGTTGGCTTGTCACCCCACATTGCATCTCCGTTACAGTCATCTAATCCCTGTCAGACACAACAGCACCTCTTGGTCTCCCTTGATACCTCCCTTAGGGCACATCGAAAGAAAGTGGCAATCCCCAACAAGCGATTTTTATAAATCTAGAAATGGTACATATCGTAGCATTTCTGCTCGGCACATTTGAGAGAGAGGTATGTCCTTTTCAAAAACTTTGAGACTAACTTGTGAAAACCGGCCAGCTCCTTTAGTAACTAAATTACCTCCGACACTAGAGAAGTCCCAATACGTTACTGCGGAAGATGCAGAAGGCGATACAGGATATTAGGCCAACAGGGCCATTGCATGCAATCTGCTGACAGCTAAGAAGTCCACCTAAAAGCCCCGAAAGCCTGTTGTATCACCTTTAACCTTCAAAGTTGAACTATGCTCTGTCTCCCAATAGAGAGATACAAGAGGAGGGTCGTTAGAGAAACCCTTAATTAGCAAGTGGCCAAGCTCGCTTCCAACGGCGTATCCTTTAGCCCATGTAGGTAGGTAGAGGGAAAATAAAACATTTTGTCCTTTGTTATCTAGTGTCGGAAAAGATGTATTGCACGAGCTGTCACTAGCAGGACCGAGCAACACTAGACAGCTTCGTAAAGAATGCCCCGAATAACCAAATTCTGACCCTAGAAGGTTGGGATACAACTAAAGGGGCTATTAGGGCCATTAAAAGGGAGCGCAGGAAGTCGAACGTGCCCTCAACTCCTGCAAAGGGAAAGAGAAGACTTGGACGAAGTGGGCTAGTTATTCTCTGGATATGCTGCCATCGTGTGAATTGAGCTCCAGTCATGCCTAGGCAGTTGATACCAGAAGTTTGTATCATCATAATCTTCCTGTAGAACTTTCTAGAGAAGGGTCGCAGATGTGACTAACTGCGCTCTTTTCTCAGCCCACAGGGGACACATGTACACCACAAAGCATAGGTCAATGGAAAAATGAGCATATCCAAGGTTAGATAAGACAGCGCAAAGAAAAGCGCGTAGAAAGTTGTCGATTGATAACCTACGCGTTTTAGTACTTCAAATACTATTTCATTCTTCTCTCACTTCCTTCCTTCTTTCAATTCATTCTTGCATCTCCTTCACTCTACGTCACCATCGATTTATCGACTCCATCCTTTGATTTGATCTCTTTTCATCCCACCCACTAAGCAAGATGGCTTTGGAGTAAGATCAACCTCCTTAGTAACCATTGTGAGAGCCACACTGACGTTTGTAGTCGAGCCCCTGCGGCTGCATTCTCTCACCTGGCCGAGGCAGCCAACCTCCCAGCCCCCCACACTGGAGCCGAAGAGCGCCCTGCAGGAGACTGGGCAATTCATATCCAGGCGCTTCCTTATCTTTCCGTACGAGGTGGACTGTACATCACGTCCTCCTTCATCCGTTACCTAGTCACGCTCCCACCTCGCCGAGAACCGATGCTGCGATACGATATCCACTGGGATGCTTTCAGCTTGAATAAAGAGATCTCCAAGAGCGCCGAGCATGTTGAAGCGATTTATACTTTTGTGGTTGGACATCGTGCTGAGTTGGAGTGTTCTCTGTGTCAAAATGGAAGAGGGGTTTTCCCCTTCTGCGTAGTCGTCGGCTATGAATACGGGCAATCTGAGTGCAGCAACTGTATTTGGCAACGAGACACCGACGGCTGTTGGCTCCTTGGAGAACGCGGTCAACAGTTCAGTGAATATGTGCTGCTATGAGGAATCCACCTAGTCGATATGAGCCATGGCTTTCATCTATTCGTACTAGGGCGTGATTGAAATTCTGAAATTTGGTCAAACTTAGAAGTCCTCTCAAATGAAGATATTAACGAGGTTTTCTGCTCTATTACAGGACCTGGGCCGTAACTTGTTTAAATGTAACTAAAACGATTAACATCTAGGGTACTATGTGTATCTCCGGGGTGATTGATACAGTTTTAGGAAGCAGACATACTGGTAAAAGTAGGCTTAGCAGCCCCTCCCTCCTCCGCAGTCTCGTTCTACTCAAGACTGTTTCTCTAGAAGCTCTCAAACAGTTTGTGTTAGTTTCTGCTCTCCCGAATACAGCTTTGCCTGCAATTGTCCGGCCAATCCTCCCGCCACCAACGTCCCCGACAACATGGCCGTTACTACCGCCTTCATGGGCACGGCACAGTCACCCGCTGCAAATACTCCGGGAACGGAGGTGCTGTAGAACGGCTTCGCTGTCTTGATATCACCATCAGATGTGAGGTACAATCCTAGTTGCTCGGCGAACGGGCCGTTAATTTCTGTTTTAGGCTCGTGGACCTGCGGATGGTCAGTATCCACTACGCAGAATTGAAGTTTAGGGTTAGACGATGCTCACCAAGAATCCCTCTATTCTTTTAGTACTATCTTCAAATCCTACTTCCACGTCTGATGGGCCTGGCCCCTTGACCAGCCGCGTCACAGGCCTACTATCGACCTTAATGCCCTTATCATGGCTCGTTTTCTCGAGCGCCTCGGTACGCTCTTGTGCGCCATGTGTATAGAGATGGTGACGGTCGTAACGAACCGCCGGGCCATCCGTGCAACGTGCATCCCCGCCATGGTGTTGCCCATATCCCCAATGGCGAGCACTCCTGCGGATTCGCAGCCTCATTCTTCAAAGCCGTGGCAGAAGAGACAGTGAAAGCTGTTTTGCGCCGCGCAATGTGAGTCATAGAAACAGCAAATAAAATAACAAATAAATACGATCATAGTTACATTCCTAGTCCCCAGCACTCTCCATATCCTGTGATATCTGGAAAGATATCAAGGACTCCATTGGCGAAAACCAACTTCTTCCCCGTCCACACCCGTTCTCGCCAGTCAACGGCAATAAAACTCCCTTCGGTATTCCACATGAATCCAGATTGGCGCTCCGAAGCGACAGTATACCCAATGATGGCAAAGGTACCCGTACAAAGACCTACTCCCCCGGTACCAGCAATTGCACGGCCGACTATTAACGTAGCACTGTTCGGGGCCACGGCACATATGAGACTGCCCAGCTCGAAGATGAAGAGAGACAGAAGATATGACCATGTTAGATGGAAGTACTTGAATGCCTTGCCCCAAGTCGTCTGGAAGGCTGCAAATTTCAAGAACGTGGCCGAACCATACCAACCAATATCATCGATACTATGAAATTCATTGGCGAAGTAAGGAATAGCGGTGGCCAGAATTGTTGAGTCCAGGTTGGCAGTGAACATGCCCATAGATAGAGCAAACATCGTAAGAGCTAGCCGACCTGGGCCAGGCAAGAGGCGTCGTCTGCCATTGTTGGTGGTGGTAAATAGTAATGGTTTATAGTCGTGTGATAGCGTGTAGATGTGTACCCCAAAATGTAATTAGATACAGATTCACTGAGTTTAATATGTGGTAACTTCAACGTATCGGGCCCTCGGGCCTTTGCTACTTTCCTTCCCAAATCCCTAAGCATAGTGGTCCTTTCACTTCACTGGGTGTGCAATGACCTTAGAAGCTGTGAGATATTCTCCGATGGCAGCGTCCGCTGGTTATTGGCCCGTTGCTTCGGTCCGTTGGGATAAGCCAATCGGGGTCAACGATCGACGCCTCTTGCCCCACCCCCAGCATTCAGGGGTGGATCGCGAGGTCACCATCTAGTCTAGCCTCCTTTCTGAGTTTCAAGCGGTAATTTTCTAACCTTGGAGGTTAAGAGGATCAATAACTAAGCTGCCTAGCCGATCACATGTAAGTTGGGTCATATAAATACGGCGCTGTAGCGCCACATCGCATTTTCGCCAATGCTTACCTGGGGATATTGCGCAGTTGCACTGGTGGCTATACTCGCTCTCCTTCTTCGATATCGAACTACATTCATAGAAGATATTTCTGACCTACCTAGCACAATGGGAGATACACTCGCCGACAAGAACCAAGAATATTGGAAGTGAGTCTTCAGCAAGGGAGAAACTCCCATGAAAAACGCACAGAGAGGACCTTGGGAGAAATGCTGACTGTTGACTGTGTCTAGTCATGCCTCTGGGCATGTTTTCAAGGACCAATGGGTGCACGATCTTCAGAAGCAGATTTTCAGCTTTCTGACGGGTAATGTGGACTGGATAGGCATTCAGCCTCCTAGCAGCGACAATACTCGGCAGACGAAATTGATGGATTATGCCTGCGGAAATGGCATTGTTTCACGCGTAAGTTATTGGCCTTGGTTGGAGATTGGAGCTTATGACTCTAGCAGCACACAATACTGACTCTGTTGGGGTTCTACAGTCGCTACATCATCTTTTTTCCAAATGCATCGGCGTCGACCTGTCAGATGGAATGCTGGACAAATATCGTGCAACCGCAGCGGAACTAGGGCTTGACAAGTCGCGCATGTCGGCCATTCAGGGTAACCTCTTGTCTCCCATAGTTACACCAACTAGCCCTCCACTCAGCAAGGAAGAGCTGGGTGGTTTCGATTTGGTAGCTATTTGTATGGCTTTGCACCATGTCGAAGACATCGCTTTGGCCACCAAACTTCTCGCCGAAAGACTGCGACCGGGCGGTGTGCTTCTAATCATCGACTGGGCGACGCGTGATTTGTCGAATGAGACTGAGCAGCAAGCCAGCGTGCAGACAACTTCCTTTTCGGAAGATCATGACAATCACCACATGCACGAGGTAGTTGACCCAAAACACCCCGCAGCGCATACCATCTCCCACCACAGCTTTTCGCAGGACCAGATATTCTCCCTCTTCGAACAAGCGGGCTGTGGAGAATCGCAATTTGTGCTAGCGGATCGACTATCACTCGTTCCTGCCGCTCCAAGTGGGCAGTTGCAACTGTTCTGGGCTCGTGCAACGAAACTGTAGCATCTCTGAATTATAGCTCCCTTTTGCTCCTTGTTTCATAGTTAGTCATAATCTCCAATGCAAGAGTACTGCTTCATGATCTCATCTACTAGACAATAGTACTCAGCGATAAGGAAGAATAACCCTTATAACGGTGTTGCGGAAGGAGGAGCATGGTGGTTAGTAGGGTGAAGTACCAGAAGCTCCTTAGCCCGGTATCCCATCTCCTGGTACCACTGGGTGTGTACATGATTTGATGGGGTTCTTGATTGAAACAATCCATTAAGAGGCCCACCGTGGAAGTTCGCGGCCTGCTTCTGGCGTAGAATCTCTTGACTACAATATATTATGGTTTCAACGCACCGTCGCAAATCACCATCGCAGTCCGGAAGATCTCTTGTTCGTCCGGATCGAACTCAAGGCGTCCAAACTGGAAAAGCGGGGGCTCCGACCCGTCGCTGATGGCCGATCCGGGACTCGACCCCCCCCCTCGGCATCTCACCTGTCCTAGCCCGCTGCTGAAAGGGACTCTGTGGCCAGGGCAAATTATTCTGATCGGCCAAGGACACAGTGTCACCCTCGCTCGCAGGCCGCTGAATGGAGAGGAGCACGAGTTCATACAGCCCCACGACCAGATCTAGGACAGTTGCCACCAAGAGCGGACATCTCTGGCAACGTCGAAATTCGTCGGTATTGCTCACTTCCCGTACCTTTGCCATGGCTTGCCGGTTTAGCCGCATCGCTTGGTCGATTGGGACCCGGGAGATCGGGAGCTGCTCTTCCAAGGACTCGATTATCTTCAAGGCGGCGGTATGTGTGTAACCCGCCACCACCGACGGATCGCGATAGCTCGGGGGGACTCTCTCATCGGTCTGTTCTGCTAATCGGGACCGCACCGATTCGCCTGTCCGCTCCGGGGCAGGCAACTCCTCAATGTGCTTATTGGACATGCTCTCAGAAGTGGAGATACCATGAATGTCTGAACGTGGATGGGGCAACAAGTTCTCTGCTGCCAGCCAGAAAGGATTGGTTGCGCCGGGCGAAACCAGTGGTAAGTCCGGGTAATCACTTAACAGGTTCTGCAGATAACTGTTGATCTCCACCTCTGCCGAGACGCCGGTAACCTCTCCCATGGTGAAGACGGAACCATCCCCATTGCATTATTTACTGAGGAAACTGGATTCTCTGTTATGGATGCGCTGACCAACTATGGTGGGGAAGAACCGCTTTCCGGACCTGATTGATGCAAAGTCGCGCTGGGCGGAACTCGCGATTCTTGCTGACGAGGAATCTGGTCGCTCGCTTTCCTCCGTTGTCTCTTCGGCGCCCGGCCTACCATCGAAACCTGATATTCGCAAGAGAGACCGTTCCGGCGACAGCGGTCACAGCCATACTTCTCGCCGCTGCAGCGGACCTGAAGACGTTCATCACGGTCAGGTTGTTTGCGTATGGATATCCATCGCTCTCGTTGCTGGTAGACCTACCTTTGCGGCGTAGCACTCCGTGTAGGCAGACGTAGGCGCAGGGGCTTCCGAGTACTCAACATAGTGAACACATTAGCAATTGGAACCCTCAAGAGAGAGCGTTCCAATGCGCATATGTCAGATGCTCGACCGCTGTATGGCGCAATCCAGCTTTTTTTCTGGGGGGGAAAATTAGGAACCAGAGCAGAAAAATGGGTTAGTCTCTGGATAGACAGATGCTAAGGATGAGAAGCTAGAAGAGCGAGATCAGGGAACAAACAAACGAGCCACGTGACATGGCAACAGGGTCCTCTAAAATGAGGCTAGCTGTATACAGGTTTGCGTGGAGATTGGACTACGTATTTAACAGGCGACGATGAGGTTGCAACTGTGAAAATCAACCTCGAAATGAACGTGGTGATATCTTGAAAATTTGCGTAATGTGCATTAAAAGTGTCGAAACCGATCGGCTCGACATCGACAGTTTGGGGTTGAAAATACGAAAGTGAGGTCTTTTCTCCACCGATAACATGTTCTAGTGGATTCTCCATTTCAATTGCCAACTAAGATTAGTAGCTCACTCCAACGTTCCCTCGAATCTTTGGCTCGCAATCTTATGAGATAATTCCAACATAGACCTTGCTAGAATTTCCAAAATAGGAATAGTGGAATCCATAGATCGTGATATCCAGTTGCGCAGCTCCACGGCCACATGGGAGTCAACTCCATAATCGGAGACCGGATTAGCAGGATTAATATTTTCAACAGGGATGGAGAGATGGGAGGCAATTTTCCTGCTAAGGGCATCACAGATGACAACGGCGGCTTGATCCACTGTTTTTGCACCACCAAGTTCAACCTTCAATCCTTCTATCGAGTCGCCGAGTGCAGTAGATTTGCCATGACCCTGGAATCTATACCGGAAATGGGCAAACAATGGCGCGTCGAAGTTCCCAAGTGAATTCATCTCTTTCCATTGGCCGAGCCCAGTTATAAGTTGTGCTCCTCCGCTCGTCGACTGGGAGATTGCAACTTGTATCAGGGATAGAAGAGTTGGTGCGTCGGTGCCCTGGAATCCTTGTCGTTCCATCTTTACCGCTAAATCCTTGTTCTCGGCCAAATGGCCAACATCTGTGATCGTGCCGAGGTCCAGAGATACTGCTGAAAGGCCTAACCCTCTTCGATAGGCGGCGAATGCGTCCATAAAGGTGCAGCCGGCGGCATAGGCAGCCTGTGTGGCATTCCCAATAACGCCGCTAATAGACGACAGCATCAAGAAGAAGTCAAGATTAGTGGGGAGATGTCGGTGCAAATTCCAGGTGCCATAATACTTTGGGCCCATGACATCCCGATACTCGTCCAACCTCATATTTTCAATGTGAACATCCTTGAGGACCATGGCTGCCTGAATCAGCCCTCGTATTGGGGGTGCGCAGTAAGACAGATCATGAAGCATTCGCTGCACTTCGGTCTCGTCGGATATATCACAAGCTCGGGTAGTTACCTGGATACCTTTTTCCACCAGATTTCTCACTGTGATCTGAGCCTGATGCTTTGAAAGGCCGCTTCGATTGACGAAAGTTAGGCTCTTTGCTCCATTTTCTGCCATCCACGTAGCAACCTCTCTCCCAATTCCACCAAGCCCACCAACCAGCATGTATGACGCATTTGCGCGGAACAATGGCTGCGTAGACTTAGGGAGCGTGGCCTATATCTCGTTAGCTGAAGGCAAGAGGACGTTTTCTGCAATATGGGATAAGCTGTACCTTCACAAGATCGTTCTCTTCCATATGAACCACGACATGCTGCTGGCTTTCAGTTGCTGTTATTGCCCCTTGAATATGTGAAACATGATATGTATCGGTAAAGCTAGGCCCTTTGAGTCGCCCCTCGACAAATAAGCGAAAGACCTTCGGCCATATCTGGTTGGCAAGGTCTGTCCTCTCTTTTTGGAGCTCAAATATATTGACTGTGGACATGGACATGTTCTGAGGACATGACAGCAGTGGAGACTTGAGATTGTTTGTTCGAAGTTGAATAAACCGTCCAAATGGTGCAGTGCAGCTCTGGAGAATTCTGTCCTCCGGGGTCTCGAAAGTGACTACTACGTTTGCTTTCTTGCCATCAGTCAATCGTAGCACACCCTTGGTTATATCATCTTTCCCGCTTATGAATACATGCTCCTCCGGAATCCCGAACCTCGACCTCAGCAAGTCCTTTCCATCAGGGCTTTGCACCGTTGCAAATATCCGAGCGTCCCTCAGTAGGTACACTTCCAGAAGTGCTTGGCCGAAATGACTTCCGGCGTCATGGACGAGAACAACATCATTCGACTCAACTATCGACAGGTGGTTCACAACATAATATGCAATGGTATATGCTAGAGGCAAAGCTGAAGCCACCTGTAATGGCATTTCGTCATCGATCCTCTGGAAAGCTGATGCCCGATCGTGATAAAAGCTTCTCGCTGTCCCAGCTCCAAGACACGCAACCCGGTCGCCTACCGTGATGCCGTGGACCCCGGCGCCGACCTTGTATACTATGCCACTACACTCCAAACCGAGGGTGTCGTCTGTTTCCCAATCAAGATAGGTTGACTGAACATCCCATTTATTCAGGCTAAAGGAGTGTACTTCGATCCCAATGCAGCCGACTGGAAGCTCTTTCATCTGTAGATCAACAACAAAACCGGGGTTATTAAATTTCCGGGAAAGACGGAGAGGTTGCTGAATTTGATGAAAAGGGCGCTCGGATATAGCCTCGGTATCATTAATGCTGTTCATGGTGTCGTTCGCCTTCAAATTCTCTAGCACACGTGGAACCAGAATTTGTCCATTTCTCTCCGCATATTCCGTGTCTTCGTCTGGATTGTCACGCAGGAATCGGGTAGCAACAACTCTTACAATTATCTTGGCGGCTTGGGATTCCGAGAGAGGATTTTCAGCATCCAGATCAAGGGTAACAATCGGGTTTACACCCGATTCGGCCCGCGCTGTTCTTGCGAATCCGACAGCCAAGGCCGCGTTTGGGTTGACAGGCTCAATCGTCCCTCCCCTTGTGATCCAGAGAACTCCACCACTCTGCGTAAGCATTGCTTTTATCTTGCTGAATGTAATTTCATCAGGAGCGGCCAACAAGGAAGACTCTGAAGTATCCAAGACCAAACAAATCTGATCCTTACACTCAACATTATTGACGTGTGCCACATTCACCTCGCATGAGGTCTTCTCGAGCTCAGTAACTAGATGCCTGGCAACTCCAGCATTGTCCATGGATATGATGTTAATCTTTCTGGCAGACTTTCGGTTTTTTCGTTTTCTGGCCACGATGAATTGATGGCTCTTCTCAGAATCTTGCTCCGCATAGGCATCAACCTCATTGAAATGAGCATCTTGTAGGATCTCATCCCACTGACTCTCTGTCCAAGCACCCTGGCCCAAACAGAATTCGTTTGCGGACAAGCAGTGCAAGGCACTGAATAAGAGACTTTTCAGCGCATTCTTCTTTGGGTCGAAGGGGTTGATTGCAATCAAATAGCCAGATGGTCTCAAAAGCTCATGGATTTTAGTAAGCGCATCTTTTTCACAACGTGCAGTACACAATCCATGAGGCAGTATTAAAATGTCGAAGGAATTCTTCTCAAATCCTTGTTTGGGGAAATTCTTGCTAAGATCCAGGGGCTTACATTCAACCCATTCCGACCACTCCTCCAGCCGCTTCGCGGTATGCTCAAGCACAAAAGCGCTTTCGTGGGCAAACGTATATTTTCCGCAGTAGGGTGATTCGTTGAGTGTCAAAAGATGGTTCAGGAATATTTCCGCTATCTGGCCTGTGCCAACGCCAAATTCAAGGATGGAGATATCTGGTTTGCCGTGGCCAATCAAGTTGACATAATTTGCAGCTGCTTGGTACGAGTCGTCCGCTGAGAATAAATCCCAGAACTCATCCAAAAGTCGATCGTCTTCGATGACAGCAGAAAAGTCGACTTGGTTTCGAATAATAGCCACAAGATTATTCCCAATAACTGGCAGGAGCCTTCCCATCGGAACGGAATGGATATCTTCTAAGTGGGATATTGATATTGAGGGTTTATCATCATGTCTTTCGAGCACATCTTGGAGATAGCACCGAAATTTGCGGTGAGAAGTGCCCAGTTCCATTGCTTCCGTTGTGCTGACTTCCTCCAGCGCAGCTCTGATGAACCCGACTGCACTCTCTTCGTAATCTGTTTGAGGCTCAGGCTTTTGATCAGCATCCTTATTGTTGAAAAGGAACGATGCATTATTGCTGGAAAGAAAGCTCGGATCGGGTTTCCAGTCAATCTGATAAATTATGCGGCTGTCTTTTGCCTGAGATGCCGGTTCATGGCGCTCGAGCCGCGCGCATCGTAGGCCACGAAGTGAAATAGTTGGCTCGGTTTCAAATTGCTTCACGTTGCAACTTACCGCGACTATGCATGCCGTCACGTCCCTGTTAGGCATCGGGCGCACATGAGTACAAATACTCATGAGCTCTCCTGCCGAACAGTTCAGACTGGATGATACAACCATCTCTTCAATGGAGACAGGGATTGCAGGTCCTTCCTCAATCCCCATACCTGGCGGTAAAGCGGCAAAGATGGTTTGAAATATAGTATCCAGTGTGCATGGATGGACCAAAAGCTCATGCTGAAATGATGCAGGCATCACAGATAGTGTATCTGGTACAGTAACTTCTGCAAAGCACGCCCCGTCTTGAGTGACACGTGCTTTTGTCATATTCGCAAAACATGGTCCGTATTCGAGACCCGAACGCTGAAGCTTCTCATAAAAGTCTTGCACATCAATCACTGATATTCCATGGACTTCAGTCCCCAACGGGACTGTCGCATAATCATCAGTTTCCTCGACGCCGTCGCCTAAAAGACCAATGCTTTTCTGTGCCCCGACCAAGCCAGTACAATTCTCAATCCACCTATTATCCTCTGAGACAGAGTATACATGGAAATTATACAACTGTTCTTGGTCCTGTGTCGACTTTTGAAGAGATATCATAACCTCGACCGCAGAGGTTTCATCGAGTACCAGGGCTGAGTGTATTCTCACATCTCGCAGGATGTATTTAGCAATACTTTCTTCATCTTTATTCAGCTGTATTGAGGCTTGGATTGCCATGACCAGATACCCTGCAGCAGGGAAAACAATGTTTCCCTGAATCTTGTGATCGAGGAGCCAAGGGAGTTCTGAGGTCCGAAGATGATTTCTCCAGCGAGGTTCAAATGGACATGCCATATTGTCTGGTGCGCCAAGTAAGTCCATCCGCGGAGAGGTTCGGTTCCGAAACATCTTGCTCATGCGTGGCTCTGCCCAATATGACCTGGTGTGATTCCAGGCATACGTTGGAAGATCAACCAGTAGCTGTGGCGTGCTACTAATCTCGGTCCCCACAGGCCTGTTAATTGCAGTCAAGTCAATAGGGTAATTAAGTGATGTTAACTTAGCGACTGCACCGAGCGCTGTCGTGACTGCGCTGACTTTCCGTGTCAGAATGCTAATATAGGTTATATCGGCAGCGTTGAGTTTCGCATCGGCCTGGAGAACTTGCTTGATCGGCCCAGAAAGTGCCGAATGGGGTCCAATCTCGATGAGACAATCGACAGAAGGCTTTTGGGCTGCTCCGGCCCTTCTTATTCGGGAACTCCCTGTATGACTAGCGCGGTGACCATTTGTCTCAAAACATAAACTCCTTAGTGAGTTCGCAAATTTCACTTGCCCGATCAAATTTGACACCCAGTACTGAGCATCCAATCCCCCCAAAGGAAACATGGTTCCAGTGACCGAGGAAAAGAACGATCCAGACCTTTCCCTCTTGTCTCCTGCTATTTGATCCAGTCCTCGGGGTTGTATATGCTCTATTAAGCTGTAATACTTCTCGGCAACCTGTTCTATATGAGGAGAGTGATAGGCGACGCCCACTTCAAGGCGTCGGCTAAAGACCTGTTGTTCTTTCAAAGTTTGAGCGAGTGCATCAATCGCAAGTATATCACCTGATATCGTCACACTCGATGGACTGTTGACACACGCTACCACCAGCTGTCTGGGCTGGAAGCTGTCCAGGTAAGGCTGTACCTCTTCAGCAGACATCCCAACTGCCATCATGGCACCTCTGTTTGGTTGGTCATTGAGAAGCTGGCTTGCCACTGCCCCTCGGTAGTATGCCACTGACATCGCATCATTCATGCTGAGTGCACCAGTGGCATATGCAGCGGCAATTTCGCCACTAGAATGACCCATCACAGAGTCTGGATGTATATTCCAAGATTTCAGCAAGTCAACCAGCGCGATCTGTAACGCAGTGCACACTGTCTGGCTGAGACTCGGACGGTTCAAATCGGAGCCCTGGGGGCTCTTTGTGATTTCATCTATTTTCACCACGTCAGTGCACAGAAATTCAAAAAGCTGATTCATGCCAATATACCTTCCACTTTGAAAGGAGCTCCAATATTATTCAAGAATCTGTCGATACCTAATATTGTCTTTTTGAAGACTGGATAAGCCTGAAGCAGCTCCTTTCCCATCCCAGCCCACTGCGCGCCTTGCCCAGTAAATACAAACCCAAGAGCTGGCTTCCGAACAGCGATCCTAGCTTTGACATTCTGGGAGAGGGAGGTTGCCAACCCCGACAACGTATCTCCAACAACAGCTGCCTTCCATGGAAAGACGGAGCGCCGCTCGTTGACTGTGTATGCAAGATCGTCCAAAAACTTCTGATTGTCAACTTCATCTCTCTTATCGAGAATATGATTGCTCAGAGCCTGCATCTGTTGTACACAAGTTCTTTCATCGAAACCAGATAGCATCAATATGCGAGGTATGCCAAGCGATGAACAAAGAGCCTTCTCATCATGGCTTTTGGTCGTGGTCGACGGTATTCGGTCATCTCTCTTGAGTCCCCAGCCTGAGAGGCAGCTTTGGGCATCTTCGACAATTACGTGGGCATTGCTTCCACCATAACCGAAGCTATTTACAGAAACACGATGAGGCCGTGTGGTCTCCCATGGCTCAGGGTACAATTGAACCTACTGACGTTAGTCCCCAGCTTTTGACTTGCCTGAGTGTTCAAACCTTGAGTTTCCAATCATCGAGCGGGATTCGTGGGTTGATCTTTTCAAAATTCCTGTTTGGCAAGAACATGCAGTTTTCCAACATCAACACTGCCTTGATCACACCCGCGACTCCGCTTGCACCTTCCAAGTGGCCGACGTTGGTTTTGATGGAACCAATCCGCACAGGATCATCAGGTGGACGACCAGTTCCAAACACACGAGCAATTGCCCCCGTCTCAACTGGGTCTCCAGCCAGTGTGCCTGTCCCATGAGCCTCCACAAAATCGGTCTCTGAGGGATCCAGATCTGCCCGTATATAGACGCTCCGGATCAAGCTTTCTTGGGATGCCCCGTTAGGTAGTGTTATCCCTGCAGTACGCCCGTCCTGGTTGGAACCCGTTCCTCGTATCACAGCCCGGATCTTGTCGTGGTCGTGTAACGCCTTGGCCAAAGGTTTAAGGATGAGACAGCCAGCTGCCTCGCCTCGCGCGTACCCATTGGCCTTTTCATCAAAGGTATGGCATCTTCCATCTGAAGAGAGAAACCTAGGACTAAGTCAGTCTAATTTTTGAAGTCGCGGGTAATTTCTTACATACTTCATCATGCTCATGGTTGACATAAACTCATGACTCAAGATCAAATTGACTCCCGCTGCAATCGCTGTTGATGAGTCCCCTGTCTGGAGGCTTTGGCATGCCAAATGCAGTGCCACAAGGCTTCCCGAACAAGCTGTGTCTACTGTGACACTGGGTCCTTTCAAATCAAAGAAGTATGATAGTCTGTTTGCCATCATTGCACGAGATTGTCCGGCGTTTGTGCACTGATACATGGGTACACACTCGGGATCCCGAAGTAGGAGATCCGTGTAGTCTGCAGAAAAAGACCCTACAAAGCAGGATGTCCTTGTGCCCATGATTTTGGTCATAGGAATTCCAGCTATCCACCATCAATCAGCCTTGAAGGGGGAACTGGGACTAGCAGCCTACCATTTTCAAGACCTTCATATGCTACCTCCAAAAGCAATCTCTGCTGAGGGTCCATGGCCTGATTTATTTGACAATTAGGTGAGCTCGACAATATTCAAATAGGTACTCACCGCTGCCTCGTCGCTTGTCATGTTAAAAAACGGTGCGTCGAACGCGGATACGTCGTCTTCCAGAAAGTGGCCACCTTCCACATTGATCTATTCTCATATTATTGATCATTCCGACGAATTGCACATATGGCTTACTGTTCCATGGCGAGCATGATCTGAGTGATGGAATGCTGCACTATTCCACCTTTTAGCTGGAATCGGGCTCCATGCCTCTCTACCTGTGAGAATCATTTCCCACAGCTTCTCGACATTTTTGGCATCCCCTGGCCCCCGGAAGCCAATTCCCACAATTGCTATCGGTGTACAGGACCCAGCAACCATGTTCGTCAGACCATCTTCCGAAATTGTCCTTTTTGGGGGGTTGACGCTAGTTTGTGGCGACATTGTTGCTTTTAGCTTGCTAGATGTCGGACAATGACCATATATCTCATGCCAGGGAAAAGCGAGGGGACTGGCTTTTCTCAGGCCAGGGCAATTGGTTTTCCTCTATCAAAGTGATTGGTCTATTCGAGTTTTTGACGCCATTCGTTCTCGGTGACAGTCTACATCGGGATATGTGGGAAGGTTTCACCTCAAGTCGCAGCGAGGTAAGTATCCGGGTGCAACCCCCAACGGCGAAACAAAACTCAAAGCCCATCAACGTCTCGATCTGAAACAAGTTTCCTGTCTTCGCGAAGAATCTGCAATACACCATTACAACATCCTGCACATTATGTTCCACAACCGCAAACATACTACTCCCCTCTTCCAACAGACTTTTCTTCGCCCAACATTTGCCCCCTTGTCGCACAGCCGAAGTGAAGACCCTTCCTTTGGTATTTGGTGTCACAAGATTTGACTGGACATTTTTCGAATTGCACTGGCGATTATAGCGACATTTTTTTTATCACTGGGGACATCATGACCCTTTCCATGTACGGCAAATGTCGAATATCTCGCAGCACAGAGCTGATATAGAGCCATTGAGTATTCAAAGAGGGGGTCTTTGGCGCCAGCAATATGCACGCAGGGGATGGAGATAAACCCCTCCAATCCTTCGTCTACGACTGGGCGGTTCCCAGGTTCCATGCGGAAGGGTGGGAGGGAATTAATGAAGATTGCGCATCGAAATAGCGCAGGCTCATTTGGGTTCGTCTTGGCGTGGTGGATCATGAATCCAGCAGCCAATGTGCCGCCATGAGAGAAGCCTAGAACCCCGTCGAACGGACCTTCCAAGGCAACTGTTTCACTCAGCTGCTCATACGCCTCCAGTATATCGGACTCATCGCTATCCTCGTGGGAAAAGGTGCGTGGGAAACGGTAGTAGCTGTAGTACGGGCCATCATAGTAGCCGGCGATTCCAGGCCCGGGATCTGAGTCGACGTCACCTTCGAGGAAAGAGAAGGTTGCGGTGTTGTCACGTTGAAGCTCGTGCATGAGCCCACCTGTTTGATTAGAGTTTTATGTTTCGCCACTCACAGGAGATTGCATACAACCTACTCAGTTGCGACTGTAGAATCTATTGGTAGATTAGCATGCGGTCACCCCCCTATCAGCAGAATCAGTAACTTGCCTTCTGATTCGTGCCCCATCCATGGAGACACAATAATCTCAGGGGCATTGTGTTGGGTAGCGATAGACAGATGAAGTAGAGCAAAAGTCGCCGTTGTCATCAAGGATCACTGCAATTTGCCATGATGAGCGCCCTGTCTTCCTGCGAGATTTATATTTTCCTTTGTGGCAAACAAGAACACACGGCGGAAAAGAGATTCATCTCATCGGCTTCATTTCATCGATATGCACGAACGACCAGGGACCCTGGAACTCACCGCGAGGAGACAGATCCACTTTTGGCCTAAACTTGGCGAAACTATCAGTTGCACAGACATGCCGATCTGGATATGCCAATACACTCCACGTAGTCCACGTAGTCCATGCAGTGTTGTACTCACTCTGATTCATAACGCTCAGACGAAAGCCAAGGCAGTTGTAGACTTCACCATTGACATTTCCAGGTTGCTAAACGTGCATGTCAATGGAGGTCTTATTGGCTTCTTGCCAGCAGAAAATTGGCCACCTACATGGCTCTCTGGGATATTACAGCGTAATAATTAAGGAGATAAGCATTTCTGATTACCTAGACTGCATATTTGGAGAAGTCCATTTGTAGGAATTGTGCTCTCCATCCCATTCTATAGTTTGCGACTGATAAAAGTATATCTAAAATATATCGTAGTAAAATCTTGATTAGAGCGCTTCTAATAACATTTCCTTCGCACAGTAAGTTGTCTGGATATATAACTAGCCAGATTTCCAGCATACCTACATACCTACACCAAATAGGTGCCCCAATTAGGTTTAGTCGCCGATCAAAGACTCCCGAATGCCACCATTGCTTGGTATGGAGATAACCTTCGCTTGGCAGGATGTTTACTCCGTACATCTACTTTCTAGACGACATTCATCAAACTTCTGAGATATTCATAATTACCAAACAGTACACTCACTATCTCGGTCAAATTCCCACACTCTTCCAATTTCCCACCTTGCGCTTTCACACTAGCAACTGAGAAGCTCCGAACGAGTAAGGCACAGTGAGGACTTTCTCCAAGATAACGGGCTCGTCTGGCTGGCTCGCACGGTCCGCATCCTTTCTCTTGTCCTATTGAGGCAATCAACTAACAGGTCTCAACCCCTCGCCGATCCTGTTCCTAGTTTCTTCTGGTTCAAGAAATCGATCAGGCCCTCTTCACGAGACTTGAAGAGCAAGAAGATATCCTCCAAGGTGCCAGGGCCATGATTGCCAGCAAATATATATCAAGTTATGTCTGGCGCTCAGCATAAACAGATTTCCGGAAAGCTTATGAACATCTTCATAATTTTGTTTAAGTGCATGTGTATAGAGTACCGAGTGAATATTCCAAAATATCAAGATCACTTGAATTCTGCAATTTCTTTTACCAAAATTACAGAATTTGCCTCCCTTGTAAAAATGCACCTTTTACTAGGCAGATCATACAAAGAGTACCTATTCAAATGCTTGGGACGATCTGTAATTTTGGTAAGAGGAATGTAAGGGGCGGGCACTACAACATGGTTTTCTGCCGGGCAAAAACCCCCCGCAGTACCGCCCGTTGACATAGTCAGGGTTGAAATCTCCAGATCTCCAGATCATCTCCACGACTTCATCTGAAATAGAACTTCATATCGCATCACTTTTAGTTCCTATCATATTTTTTTCCCCCTGTACAATCATTCTCACTATTCTTTGATCTTTCGCTCTCGCTCAGGCTATCTTTGCCCCCCTTTTGGCGGTGGCAATCCCCTATTACCGCAGGATCCATTGTGGCTCTTTTGACCAATCGTAAGGATTTAGACATTGATTCTTGATTTGCGAGTACGAACACGACTTGCAATTCTTGATACAAGTAAGCAGAATCGTGAGACCCATCACCAGCGTCAACAATCATCATATTGACCATATTCCCCACCAGGGAGTCTCTTTATGCCTGGACTCTCATTATGTTCTATCGGTTGATAGGATACGCCACGACACCCTTTTCGCAATCATTTCTCTATCGCTAACCTGCAGTGCGTTATGCACAGTACAGTTGGGATTTTGACTGCCTCTGGATGCCTTGATTTTTGTTGGCTGAACTAGGCTAGGCCTAGGTCAATTGGTGGATAGCAGCCCGGACCGCATTCTTTGTGCCTCGTCCCTTCGGCTGCGTGGCTTCCATGCGCGGCATGCCTCAACATGATCCCGAGGTTTGAATGGACTATTTCTAATATGCAACGGTCAGACCTCGGGAGTAATGAGATAAGAGGAAAACAAGCCCTGAAGAGCGACTAAAACAAGAGCTACTGCAGCTGTTGCACAGGATAGCATGTGCGATAGAGGGGGGATAGAGAGAGCGAGAGGTTCGAAAGGATCGAGGGGTCTCGACCACTAAATTAAATCATTGAATCATGTGCAACCACACAGATTTACGCCATTTTGACCCCACCGGGTGGCGTGGGCCATGAGCTCTCGGCGATTCGTAATGTTCTGCCATGAATCCCGAGGGTCCTTTAGTGGATCATACTTCTATCTATAAATCTGGTGTCTGTTCGCCCTTTTTCTTTTCTTTGATATCACAGTGGATAATGGCATCAGATTTACAAGGGACTATCCTTGATCATCCTTGATCATCCTTGACTATCCTCGACTATCCTTCACTACCCTTTCCACTCCACTCTATCTCAGGAGGTGGCTGCGAAATAACAAATGCCCAAGGCGTGGGTCCAGATCGACGTTTTGGGCAGTTCAACTGCGGCCTAAGGGGTTGTGAGAGATAAGGTAGATGAAACAACAACAAACCCATAAATTTTTTTTCTAAACTACATCCAGTCGGTATAAAAAATGGAGTTAAAGGAAACACACGAACCATCCATTTTAGAATTTTAGAGCGGATGGCTCGGTTCCAAACTGGACCAGAACAAGATCGCCACAATATGACCCACACCACCTTGATGTGCAGGTAGTACGTACTCTAGAAACTCTAGAAACTCTAGAAACTCTAGAAACTCTAGAATGAATTCTATTCCCCGAATGATAGAGGTATGTCAGTGTGCATGTATCCATGGATATGCAATTGGGGTCATAAGTAAACTTAAGGTTGAACCTATAAAGTGAAGTTATATCTCAGATGTGCCATACTCCCCGTTATAAGTAGGTATTATTATGATTTCACTTGAGATCTAGACTCTCTTAGTCTTTTAATCTCTTATTATTTTATCTTTTTTTTAAAACCTATTTTAACTACTTGACTTATCCAAAAAGACCCAAAAGACCCAAAAGACCTAAAAGACCCTACCTGAAAATCCGCATTGAGGGAATTCTCTAGGCAATTCCTTGGTTTCGCCATTCAATCCTGTTCTAACCTTCTTTTTCTTCTTCTTTTCTCTCTCAAACTCTTATCCTTTTCAATCAAAACTGTTCATATTCTATCTTTTATTCGATTTTGACTTCTATTCGTGGTGCCTTGTGCCTTGCATAAAACGGCTTGCAGCTCTTGGCTAATCTCCCACCCGAGCCAACGGGCTCACTCAAATTCCCTTCATGTCGGGCATCATCAACCCACATCCCAGCCCAAATGAAGAATACGCAGAATATCCTCTTCCAATCATTGACAATCCCGATGATCGCCATAACCTCGAGCGTGAGGTCACCGTCGATGCCACCCACTACAATGTCGGGCTTGAGCCACCCATACGCCCTCGCAGCCGATCCCATCATAGGGTTCGTTTTCATTCAATGAGTTTGCGCCGAAATGAACAAGAAGATGCTTCACATCCCTCGTCGCGACCGCTACTGCCGCTCACAGACCGCAATGAAATCCCGCTATCCGGAACCATCACCCCGCCAGCCCCCACACATTCCCGCCGTGGATCCGGCCTCACCAATGCGCACACCCCAGACCAGTTGAGCGAGTCGGAGAAACATGATGTCGTAGGTGAAATGGGCCGGATCACCTCGGCCCGCGATCGATTCAGAGCTACCGGTCACATTTTGCGACAGAAAACTACCCGCTTCACCGAACGCCTCGGTCGCCCCACGGATGAGGGTGAGCCACTCAACGCCTCTTACATTCCAGACGACTTTGACGGCAGTATCCCACTCGAGGAGCTCGAGGCCCGCCGCGCGCGTCATGATGCCGACCGAGCGCATGCATTGGAGAGCGGTGAGAATATTATCGAGCCGCCCCCGAGCGCCGAGGCCCATCGCTTGGTCCGTAGCATGACCGTGGTTCAGGACCAGCTGCGGAAGCGGAAACCTCGGGGCGCATATCAGCGGTCGGGACAGACAACTCCCGAGGGATTGTTCAGCGCCTTTACGCAACGGAGACGATCCAGTGGACTCAGCGGTGGCAGTGGCATTTTGTCGCAGCTGCTGAAGCTCCAGGCCGCCCAGAATGGGGGCTATTCGCGCCCGGAAAGTGTCATCACCGATGACTCCGACAGTGAGACTCAGGTGTCTTCCGGTATCTCCACCCCGAAGAAGGGATCCCTCTCGCCTCCTATCCCTGCATCTCTGCCAGCCTCTGGCGCCGCTACCCCGCGCAAGGAGAAGCTCAAGTGGTACAAGAAATCGGCACATCGGTCCACCTCGTCGCTAGTCAATGCCTCCATGAACCTCAGCACGGCTAGTCTGCCTGCCGCGGTGGAGGCCGCCCCGGGTATACACAAGAAACGAAAGAAGAACAAGCGCAAGACCCGTCTGGAGGATGAGATCCGTGTGACCGTCCATATCGCAGAGATCATCGCACGTCATCGGTACATCATGCAGCTGTGTCGTGCGCTTATGCGATACGGTGCGCCGACCCATCGTCTGGAGGAGTACATGCAAATGACCGCCCGGGTCCTGGAAGTCTCGGGTCAATTTTTGTACCTGCCTGGTTGCATGATCATGTCCTTTGATGATCCTACCACGCGTACGGCCGAAGTCAAGCTCGTGCGAATGGTGCAAGGAGTCGACCTTGGTCGTCTCGCTGATACACACAACGTTTACAAAAATGTTGTTCACGATCTTATCGGCGTCGAAGAGGCAACTCAGGAACTGGACGAAATCATGCAGCGCAAGCCCCGATTCAACAAATGGATCTTAGTCTTGGTGTATGGTCTTGCTAGTGCGACTGTCGGACCGTTCGCTTTCACGGCGCGACCAATCGATATGCCCATCATCTTCTGTCTCGGCTGCATTGTTGGGCTGATGCAACATGTTCTCGCGCCACGGTCCACACTCTACTCCAATGTCTTTGAGGTTACTGCTGCTATCGTGACCTCCTTCCTCGCCCGCGCATTTGGCAGCATCATGGTCACCCGCAATGGTGTATCTGAACCACTTTTCTGCTTCTCCGCTATGGCACAATCATCTATCGCTCTCATTCTCCCTGGATTCATGGTTCTTTGTAGCAGTCTGGAACTGCAATCTCACCAAATTATCGCTGGTTCGATCCGTATGGTGTACGCCATTATCTACTCCCTCTTTTTGGGCTATGGTATCACAGTGGGGACTACGATCTACGGGCTGATGGATGGTAATGCGACATCTGCATCGACGTGTTCAGGCCTGGATGTCTACGGGTCGGTTTATGTACGCACATTCCCCTTCGTGGCTATCTATGCTGTTTTCCTGGCCATCGTGAACCACGGAAAATTGAAGCAGATGCCCGTCATGGTCTTCATCGCTTTGTCTGGGTACGTCGCCAATTATTTCAGCACCACCAAGCTCGGCACCCAATCAGAAGTTGCCAACACCGTCGGCGCATTCACCATTGGTGTCTTGGGCAATCTATACAGTCGGGTCTGGCATGGCCATGCTGCGACCGCCATTCTTCCCGGTATATTTGTGCTGGTCCCCTCTGGCCTTGCTTCTAGTGGGTCTTTGATCGCTGGCATCAAATACGCCGACGAGGTTCGTCAGAACCTCTCAAATAACGGGACCAGTACAGCGACTGGTGCCCTTTCTGAAACTTCAGTTGCCAGTCTTGGTTTCGGCATGATCCAAGTCGCGATAGGCATTACAGTCGGATTATTTATCGCGGCTTTGGTTGTCTACCCCTACGGCAAGAAGCGCACTGGTCTGTTTAGCTTCTAAGTCATTTATTTTCATTTTTTGAACATACTTCTGTTGTATGTGTGTCATATTTCAGCCTTTTTTTCTTTCTACATTTCGGGTTATCAGCGTCAATTCAGCGTTTGGGATATACACTGCATTTATCGATTCACACGGGAGCGTCATTAGCGATATCATTTTTAGACATGGACAACAACAGTACACAATTTATAGAAATTACTTAAACAAGATATCTACAACCATTCATATCCTCAACAGGGACTTTGTTCTGATAGTCGAAAATAGTGGGTTCTCGTGTCAGGGCTTTCCGACCGCAATGACACCGCCCCACGGGCATCTCCAAATACTCCAAATACCCCAAACAGTCGCAAAATACTAACACTCTACTTAACACAACAGAGGAGTTGTTTTTTTACAACGGCAGAGACAATCCAAAATGGGACGAATCATCCCAACTGACTTCATCGCCTCAGACCGCGGCGGCGTCGTAGAAAATCGACACAGCGTCCATGCAGCCATCACCGACGCCGCAGGCAACCTCCTCTATGCAGTCGGCGATCCCTACCGAATGACACTCGCCCGCTCAGCAGCCAAACCCGCACAGGCACTAGCCATCCTTGAAACGGGTGCCGTGGACAAATTCAATTTCAACGACGCCGATCTGGCCTTCATGTGCGCCTCGAATAGCAGTGAGGAGCGACATATCGCTCGCGCCCGGAGTATGTTGTCGAAAGTCTCGGCTTCCGAGGCGGATCTCCGCTGCGGTGGCCATCCTCCTCTATCTGACACTGTACTGCGCACTTGGATCAAAACTGATTTCACCCCAACTCCGGTTTGTAGTAATTGTTCTGGCAAGCATGTCGGCATGATTGCCGGGGCGAAGGTGCTGGGTGGTGGTATGGCGGATTATCACTTATCTACACATCCTATTCAGATGCATGTGAAACGTGTGGTTAATGATGTCTGTGGCCTTGGGGATGATGTGTCTGTTTGGGGTCTTGATGGGTGTAATTTGCCTGCTCCGGCTTTCGAATTGCATTATTTGGCTCGGATGAATGCGACGTTCGCCGCTGCGGCTGATGCTATGGCGTCGGGCTCTGGTACATCTTCCAGAACAAAGGCGTTAAGTCGGGTCTTCCATGCTATGTGGCAACATCCCGAGTTCGTTGCGGGAGAAAATCGCTTTTGTACAATCCTCATGACTGCATTCCAAGGCCTGCTGATTGGGAAACTCGGAGCAGATGGCTGCTATGGAATTGGCGTTCGGCAGTGTGAGCAAACAAGATGCCTCGGAGCAGAGGGTGCTATTGGGATTTCTGTGAAGATCGAAGATGGCAATATTGGCGTTCTTTACTTGGCTGTGGCAGAGATTTTGGAGCAGCTCAAGATTGGAGAGCCTGAAATGCGTCAAGCACTCTCTATCTTTCACCACCAAGATATCTTCAACACTGTTAATGTTCAGACTGGCAAGTTCTTGCCTTGCTTCCAAGTGCGACCAGCATCGCGTAGTTAAGCAGAGTCCTACATTGGGTAGGCTATTATAGAGCATGGAGAACTAATAGACATCATACAAGAAATTACTCAACAAAGAGATTGTGCCATGGTCTCATTAACTACCCTCGATCATACTGTTTATATTCTGTCCATTGCTTTTTTAGTGGTTCTTTCACTCTTCTATCACTTGCTCCTTACTTTTCTATCGTGTAGCTCTTTATCTTGTTTAGTCTCGGTTGAATGCGTTGTTTTCACACCAGGCAAACAATATTCTTTTTCAATAGAATCATTATTCAAGGGGCTTGGCTTTTCTTATATGGTCTGTCATTACTATCTGTTCAATTCGTATTGCCCTTCTGGTAAGTGGGAGGCGTTCTTGTTCACCCAATGACATCCTATCTTCTTTATCTGCATTATAAGCACGATGGCTATTGGAATAGCTAAGTTTGGTGCCTGTAGTAACGGCATAAAGTCATACAAGATTGCCATATCACCTCTACTTTACATACTCTATCATATTCACACCCCTCTTTGCATCCCCTAGGCAAAACAACATGGATGTCAGTGGGAGTGAATATCAACAGCCCTCACTAGTGAGTCTCCATCCCAGTTTCCACTGGCCTATGTGCACAATCTAACTTAGGACAGCCATCGGGCACGAGGAAGAGAAAGCGCTCAGCCGGGTATGAGTCCTTGCGGGTAAGTCCTGACTTTCCTCTAAATCAATTTATGTTTTACACAGAAACTAATATTTTTACCCCGTCAAGGCGAGGAAGAAACGCAAGCCAGTGCTCGATGACCTCCGCAAGGTGTTGGTAACTTACCACGGCTTGCAGCAAATGCAACGGGAGTTGAACGAGCAGCTCGCCGTGTGCGAACGCCAAATTGTGAAACACAAATTTGGCAGTGTCTCGAGGAAGCTTCGCCGTAGCCGCTACCGCAGTCGCCCATACGTCTTTCCGCGCTTAAGGTCTCCACTGCGCGAGTTAGTCAAGATAGAGGAAGATTTGCCCACATTCTGGGAGCGTCTAGGAGAATGGTTGCGGAGATTGTGGTGAAAGGGGGAAGGAGCGGAAGCTGAATCACTTCGTGTACTAGGTGGCTCTCGCTGGCGAGACTTCCCACAACTAGATGAGTGTACGATATCGTGAAGGGTCACCCATGTTGGAGATAACTAGCATGTCATGTGTTTCCTACACAACCACAAAGGCAACCAGAAGCCCCGGTCCACAAGGCCTGTATTCTTTACCTCCATATCAATTCATACCATTATGTGTCCGTTTGTTGATTGACCTGTACTCCTGCCAGCTTTTGTTCCTGGGCAAAGAGCGGATGTATCTATTAACCGCTGCGTGAAGTTCTGGGGTTTATATTTTTCAGCATCCAAAATCTACCTCTGAGAAAATGTCTAAAAATACTGACTAAAAAGATTATCAAAAAGAGACATGACTGAACTGCATAGACGGTCGACTGTACACCAACACAATGTTCACCTAGAAAATATATATTTCTCAGCCACATTTTATTATACCACCACCCATCAATTGAAACTACAAAAAAAAAAGTACTTATAAAAGCCAAAAAAAAGGTAAGAATAAAAATTGAATGACATGGAATATACGAGGAATCTCAGCAATTTAAAATGGAAGAAGCAAAAAGAAAAACCAAAAAAAATAGTTTCCCTGGGAATCGAACCCAGAACCTTTCCGGAACACTTGCGATGAAGCAATTGTTAACGGAAAATCATAACCGCTAGACCAGGAAACTGTTGTATGGAAAATATGTTTAATTTGTGTATTATAAGCAAACAAAAAAGAATAACTCATTCCAGTACTACCCATATGTGCAGGTGCAGTTAGGAAGGAATGACCATTGGATATGACAATTCCAATTTCAGAGAACAGTGGGATATGATGAAAAGGGATATCTGAGTATTCTCATTGGAATCTACATTCGCTGTTTATTTGCATAGTTATCATATGGATGATGTCTTGTGTACATGTGTAGTTACCTTACAACTGTCAGAACGGGTTAAACGACTTGGTATTATTAATTTCTCCATCCATCGTCCTTACATAGCCTTGCCAAGCAATATAATTGGAAAATGATGAATCTAAGCCGTAATGTAGTTCCATGGCTGAAGATCTTGAGGCGTCGAAACAAATGTGCCGCAAAGGATCCCAAATCAATTGACGGGTGAGACAGGCTCCGGACTCGTGCAAGGAGTTACGGGTCCCCAGGTAACATTCGTAAGCTTTCCAACGTGATGGCAATCTCGAACAACACGTTCAGCAAGGGTCAGGTCGGATCCCTCGACGTTGCCCCAGTCCCATCCCTTCATGAACCGAACTCCTTCGTCTAGTTTCTTCTGCAAATCTTCTTTGCTCCGATGTTCCACAAGATGATGGAGAAGCTCGGGATGAATATGTCCAGGTGGCCCGTGAAGAATGTAACAAGATATGAAACTCAAGAGGTCCTTTTCAACCGGGAGAGTCACCAATTTGGAACTTTTGGAGATGGTGTATTAAGGAGATCATGTATCGAGGAGGCTTTGGTGTGAAAATGTTGATCTCGGAGGCAAACATCGAGGGGACCTTAGTTGTATCCTCCAGCGTAAGACCGACCAACGACAACGGGAGAAGATGTACACGCATCCAGCCTGCACGATCCAAGCCGTGTCGCAAACATCCGGTATCCCAGTGTCCAAGCCACCGTCGAGTTCCAGTCGAGAGGAGGGGGAAGTCGTGCTCGACTAGAATCTGTGAGGCTAGCGACAACTGCTCATCGGGCACTGCCCATTCCACAACCTATAGAACTTCGGTTAATAGAGCAACTCCCTGGAAAATGATAAAGAGATTGATTATGCCACTCACCACTGGAACCTCCTCGTAAACACATCTGAATTGAACTTGAGTTCCGTATTCCACTATTGAGATGTTCCCACCGGCAAGTACTTTCAAAGCTGCCGTAATGGGAGAGTCACGGAAAGGATGATCATATTCATCTTCATTCGGAGGAACCTTTTGAATCCGGTGCTCCTCAAAGTTGTCATGCTGTCTAGCTTCTTGACCTTCCTCCAGTGTAACCTTTGAAATCTTGGTGATGTCTAGGTTGCGATGCTGTTTGAGTTCTTGATGCTCATCCACTGGGAGTTTCGAAATAGGGAGCTCGCCCAGACCGTGATGTAGTTTGGGGCCTTGAAGTTCGTCCAGTGTAAGCTTTGGAACCTCCAGGTAATCCATGTTTTGATAGCTATCTGTGTCAAGTTTGGCTGGTGAGACATCGATTGCCTCGACGACATTTGGCGAAGGAGAAATATGTATAGCTGAAAACAACAAGGACAATATGGGAGCCTCTAAAAAGGCTGTTTAAGGACGAGCTTTAAGGTTGATTCTCTAGGGTAGAGTGAAAAGCCAAGTCAAGAATTGAGTGAAAAAGATTCCCTCCTGTCGATTTGTTTGCCTTGCAATTCTAATCACCTGTCCACCTTTCCAACTCATTGCCTCTAACCTTTTCCCTTTTCTTCCTCTGCATCCAACATACTTGTCTATCCTTTGTTACTTCCCCCTTCTGACACCTTTCAACCATCGGCTTCCTTTTAGTCTTGATAATCATCACCATGGTACCTGATAAATCTGCCTACAAACACCTGGATACTGCAGCAAGTCAGCTTACACATATCCTGCGTGAGGCAGGTATCAACCACATTTTCTTCGGGGATTCGCCGCCGGCCTTCTTGGTAGCACTCGCGTGACTAAGGTGAACTTTCCCTCGGCATCCCCCCCTCTCACACGTTTGACAAGAGGCTAGAAGCCCTAACAAGAAACACAGGACACTCATGTCACCATCGAGACATCCGCCAGCCGTGCTTTGAGCGATATCCCAGAGTTTACCTGGTGTAGCGATGAGAAGTGTTGGAGGTACTTCTACCGCAACATCCACGCTAGCATTGCCATTTCAACACCAGGGAGTGGGCCTTGGAATGTACTGAGCCCGCGGGCTGCAGAAAGATATACCATTGATCCGAGGGACGTCCCGGATCGTTCGCTCTTTGCGAAAAGTAAGCTGTCAACTACTAAATATAGAGCCTTCGCTGGCCTGCTCCACAGTCGACATCCTTCATCCCTCTGTTCTTGTCCTCACTAAGCTGAAGCCGTGGTATAACTCGGAGATCTCTCGGGATATATCGGCTTACATGCGTAGTCGAGCACACCTAATGGACATCATGAGCGGGCTTGAGTGGCTCACGGATGAGGAAATTGCGGATTGACCTTGACACTTACCCTGGGGTCCCGAAGCAAGAGCTGATGCAGTTGTTCTGCAAGCTCTATCGAGCTCATCGACAAGCACGACCGTATGTTGATGCAACCCTTGCGTTTAACGATATGAAGGGGGGGTTTGAACTCTACTCGTTAGGCCTTTGGCAACTTCAAGCTTGGGGAATAGCCGCGACAGTACTTGGCTGGCATTTGATTCTTTCCATTGGTGATTAGCCCTTTCTATATGGGCGACGGTGGCTATCACTCTTCACTTGAGTTTGATCGATTTATTGGATACTTCTGCCATGATATTTTGCTAAATTGATACATGTGCATAAATATTTGTTGTAAATAGACTACCACCATTCTTCACTTGGAGGTGTATATTGAATGGTTGCCTTCGGGTGGAGACATTGTTCGATAGATCACGGCTTGTAGTTTGCTTGGATTGGAATGGAAATCCTACCTCTGGAAAAACATAGTCTTTCGAGCAGGGTATTAATGAACCTGACTTCAAAGACACACCTTCCCATCACGTTCTCCAATACTATCAAACGATAATCAAGATTGGTAATTGGGGGTAAGATTGATGTAAGACTGATGATGGGGTAACCTGGGAACCTTGGAAGAGTTGAGACATCCGGAATAAATTAGACCGAATGTCTTCGGGTACACGGCCCGTGGCTTCAACCTTGAAAGAGCCCTGGATGGGGCACTACATACATATACATTACTCCGTAAGTAGGTACATAGATGGCTCTGCTTTAGTGCTAAAAACTAAGGAATAATCGGAGAGAGAAGTACTCTGTATGGTTGAAACCATTCAAGTGGAGCAGACAAGCGAAAAGAAAAGGAACCATTTCAAAGGTTCCACATGGAGATCACCCACATTTTTATAAATATACTCTACTCTATACGGAGTACGGCGTACTCTGCCGTACTCCGTAGAACGATATCGTTCAATCATTTTCACTATAATCTGGTAGTGGACCAAGGGATTTTTTTCCCCTAGAAATTTAGCGCCTCTAACAAAGGTACTAGTGCTGACGCACGGCTGGGATTCGGCAAGCCGGCTGAAACCTGCGTGCGACTTGATTCATCTTTATTCTCAATTTTTTAATAACGTCGACTTGCCTGGTCCTTGTCTATACCTCGTTCTTTTTAATCAAACTTCAAAAGATTGCCGTGATGGTGGGCAAAATAGAAGATAAGTATGCTCATCCGGTGGCTGCCTGATACCCGGTCCTTTCCAACGTTGTCCGTTCCCGCTGACAGTTTCTTTTTCCTTGTGCCTCAACAGATTTATTGGGCTGATACTGGCGCTGTTATCTGCCACAGTAATTGGTTGTGTCACCTGTCCCCCTTTCAAGACAGTTTTTAGACATACTGACGATCGCACCGAGCAGGTTCAAGCTATGTCGTCACTAAGAAGGTTCGGTGCCTAGTCAATAATATCCCGGTGTTCTTCAATCGTCGCGCATCTGCAATCTGATACGGCACTACCAGGGTCTTATACAAGCAGCCGAGAAATATGGGTTCACTGGAGATGGATTTGAATACATACGGAGTCCGGTGTGGTGGTGTGGAACAACTATGCGTATGGATGCCTGACTGGACGGATATCGCTAAGGGCTAATAGACCATGATTGCAGTTGTTAGCAGAGAATTAATGAATACTGCGGCCTATGCATTCGCTCCCGCTGTGCTGGTCACACCGCTTGGGGCGCTGAGCGTCCTCATCGGGTGAGTCAGCCAATTAATTATTCCACTGTCGCGCTAATCACTTCTAGTGCCTTGATGGGCTCATATTTCCTCAGGGAAGAGATCAACGTTCTCGGAAAACTCGGATGTGCCGCCTGCCTTCTAGGCTCGGTGTTGTTGGTGCTCCATGCGCCGGGCGACAAGGACATCGAGACTATCGATGAAATCCTGCACCTGGCAATCCAACCATGTTGACAACCCTTCCCAGCGTTGTATTGCCAGCATACTGACATATCTGTAGTATTTCTTCTCTACTGCCTTTGTGTTGCAATAATTGCCATTTACATCATCTGGAAAGTCGCACCGGTACAGGGGCGAACAAACCCGTTGGTCTATATCTCGATTTGCTCTTCGGTCGGATCTATATCCGTCATGTCAGTCAAGGCGTTTGGGATTGCAGTCAAACTCACCGCAGGCGGTGATAACCAATTCACCCACGCCTCGACTTATGTCTTCGCGTTGGTTCTGGTAGTCACCACCCTGACCCAGATGAACTATTTGAATAAGGCGATGGGCCAATTTCCTGCATCGCTGTAAGTTCTCTTGTCTAATTTTGATAAGCCATACATGTTATACTCAATTCTTGACAGAGTAAACGCGATGTACTATGTTGGTTTTACAACGTGCACCCTCTCTGCCTCCATTATATTTTACCAAGGGCTGAACACTAGTAACTGGACGAGTATTATCTCGATGATATGTGGATTTCTGCTCAATTTCACGGGCATCTCCCTCTTGACATTGTCCAAAACTGCGTCTTCCAGTAAAAAGAGCATGGACTCAGTGCGAGGGATGAGCGTGAGGCCACTGGAGCTCTCCCATGGACGATACGAGCACGTACGAACAACCAGTGTGGATATTGAACAAGCCCTTGGAAGACGGCATTCTGGAGCCCAACTGGAAGAGAGACCATAACGAATTGCAAATTCGGATTTGATTTCTTTGTACCATATATTTTCAGCTTCCTGCTAGCCTCAGGATAAATTAGAGTCGAGACTGTGTCCTTACGGCCTTCTTCGTTTTAATCCAGCTATAGGACCCTATTGATAAATACCTAAGATGGCGCGCGTCTGTTTTCGTCTTCAGTACTAGCAGGGCAGTAAAGGAACTTCCCGGCGGTATCTAAGCTGACCGTGTCCCTTTGAATCCGGTCGTGGGCAAGTTGGCGCTCTTCCGGAGTCAACCATCGTGTTGTTAGTGGGTGATCGGGCAGCATGAATATGCCGAGACCTGCAATACCAAATGTAACTGCACCCTCGATGATAGTGTCGCTGTTGTAGGATTTATCATATCCTGCGTGACACTAAATAAGGGCGCAAGATATGTGGCTTGTTTCCTCTTTGCCAGTGGTGTATCTGCTGTCAATTCGGTCATTTTGGGCTGGGTCTCTGCCACACTAGGCCAGACGCCAGAGAAGAAAGCCGCTTCTATTAGCTTTATTAACGTTGTGGCTAACGCATCTTATATCTATACGGCTTACCTCTACCCAAAAACTGATGGCCCTCGTTACTTGACTGGAATGTCGGCGAACACGGCATTTGGCATTGCAACTATTGGGAGTGGTTGGGCTTTGAGGTGGTGGCTGCAGAATACAAACAAGAAGATCAGCAGGGGTGCTCTGCCTAGTGCTGGTGATGTTCTTTATGCCTATTGAGAGATTATCGGGAATGATCTTGTCCCGTGTTTATATGGCTGTGTTGAATAGGAAACATGACTTTGTCCACGGTTGACGTTAACTTACGGCGATATTTAACTTTGACCTGATCTAGGAATCCTCTGAGAAAATTGCCTGTCTTTGAAAGCAGAATTCAAATGATACAAGTGCGTCATATACTTATCTATAAGCCAAATAATCTAAATCTAAATCCCATCAGTCACTGCTGTACAGAGCCTTATAATAGCTCCTCCATGGTTTCAGTTAATATCCAATAAGCATTCTCGTGCGCATCATAATTCACATTAGGGGCTTAAAAGCCGCCAAACTCACAGGTTCATAACCAGCTTTGATCCGCCATTCTTCTTGTGGTTTATTTATCCTCCATTTTCATGTCTTGTGAAATTGCCTGAGGCGTTCTCCAATTTTTACCCACAAGCAGAGCTGGATGTAGACCAGTCAAGCAAATACACGCAATTGAAATCATAGCGCCTTCGAGGATCATCAAGGCTATCTCATCGTTGGCCAATTTACTGTGAAATCCACCCTGGAGCTCGGCCACTCGGAATGAAGATCGAATCAATATAGTTAGAACGGCAGATGTCAAACCTGATAATCAAACTCGAGTCAGTGGAATGCCCATAGAAAAGATCGAGGTGATATACATACCAAGCAAAAACGATCTCCTCATCCAGCTTGCTGGCCGTTCCTGAGTATGGGAATGCAGGCGTCTTGCTCGTAAAATCCGGGCTCCATACTCAATCGCTAGAATAGAGAACACTACCAGCGATGCAACTTGAAAGACCAGTCCAGCGATCATGATGTTGACACCAGTATCGCGAAGTGACTGTTCATCGGCAATTGAAGTAATGGCTCCACCGGCCGCTTGCAAGATCAGGGAAATCAAATCGCAAGTCACGAACAAGTAGCTGTAGGTTCTTGGCTTCAAGCGTGAGAACTCTTCGCCGTAAACAGTAATAATACGACCGAGGCATAGATAGATTCCAGCTGTGAAGAATGCCGGGGCAATGGTGAGACATATCAAGTACCTAATGTATCACGCCTCGGTCAGCATATATTCAATCATGTGGTAGGCTCTGTAACTTACATCAAGAAAGCATTGAAGCTAAATGGGTTATCATGTAAGAGAATTCGGCCCAAATATCCTATGATCTCCAATATAAGGCCCGCAACCATTGGCACCATGAAACTCCAAGATCGAAATACGATACCCGTACCGATCTGTCCAATGAGTAAGATGGCGAAAAGAGCGAGATAAAAGATGTTTCCAGCCATGTTAGGCTGATACTGGATGTAAGCATCACTTAACGGACATGTTTGCAAAGTGCAATCATCCGGATTGGACATGACTATGTATAGTAAAGAACCTTGGAAGATTAAGTAGGCTAAAATGAAGTTTGAAGACAATGAGTGCTGCGATTGAATTGATATTAGCAAATCCATGATAGATTCGTCACTATTTATATGTAGACCCAAAGATGTTTGACGCTGCCTATCCACAATCAATAATCATTATGAGGCTGTGTGGGTATTTTCAAAACTTCAACTTGAGGTAATCTCACTCCCAAATCCTTCGAATTTATAGTCAAACCAATAATCAACGCTGCCATGAAGATTGATACGATATAGTGGATCCCAAGTTAAGCCGTTGCCTGGCGGGTCACCGATGCCAAGACTTTTGCACTTCGACCATGTCCTTGTCCTTGTCCGTGTCCTTGTCCTTATCCTCTTCAACTCGCCCATTTCCTTGTCCTGATGTACCTTTCACCAGAACAGATTGACTATACTCAATTTGGAACATGGCGTCTACGTCGGGACACATCAAAACGTGTCAAAACTGTGCTCGTGGCAAAATCCGATGTATCCGAACTTCGGATTCCTCTATCTGTGATCGGTAAGTAGTGAAACTCGATCATCATTTTTATACTCAACTATAACCATATTCTAATATAAGGTATTAGATGTCGCCGCCTTGATAAAGAGTGCTTTTTTCGGGCTGCTCGACCTCGTTACAACCCCACTAAGAAGGGGACGTAAGGCTCCCAAATTCCATCTGATTCGTGACAGTAAATATGCTGACGCAAGCTTAAAAAATAAGACGAGTCGAGGCTCTCGAAGCCAAAGTGGATCAGCTCTTAGCGCGAGTCGTTAATAGCCAGCACACTAAACACCAGCCTGATGTTCCTTTAGCCCTGTCTGACCCGGAACTTCATTCCATCCCAGATAAACCCCGAGATGTTATTGATCGCGGGATTGTGAGATTTGATGATGCCGTCAGTCTTCTTGAATCTTTTCGGGAAACCTTGATGCCATGTTTTCCATATATCTTTATCGCACCGGAAGTGACGCTTGCTCAGCTGCGAGCGGAGAACCCGCTTCTCTTGCTGGCTATCCTCAAGGTCTCATCATACAAAAATGCAGCCGCTCAGCAGATATTGGAAGAAACATTCCAAACAGCAGTTGCTGATCAGATGATCTTCGCCTATAATCCATCCATGGACGTATTGCTGGGACTCCTTGTGGTTTTGGCATGGTGAGTCTAATTTAAAGTGGTTTTATTGAAGACGGCACTACTGACTCAAAGCCTCAATATCCCAGGTTGCAACATCAGTCTCAGCATGAAAGATTTTCCAGCTACCTTCATCTTGCTTGGAGTATAGTCGGTGATTTGCGGCTTGACCGGTTGTCGGAAACCCAATCATTCTATTCACGGATGGCTATGAGCAAGGTCTCTTCAGATGAAAACAGTAGTAGACATTCGGTGAACGAGAGAAGACGAGCTCTGATTGGATGTTACGTGCTATCCTCATGGTCAGTAACAATGCCCATATCTCCCTAATATTACTGACTGAGTATGGGTGTGTGCAGTCGCTCGACAATATTGCAAAAGGATCGCATGATGACTCGGCTGTCATATGTTGAAAAGCATGCACTTGAATTACTATCAAATGCTGAGACTGCCAGTGATCGCTGCTTAATACAACTAGTAAAATTACAACAAATCTTTGAACGGATCGATGATGCTGTGGTCACTACTGCGAATCCAGTACGAGAGGTTGATATGCATGCATTCCAAACCGAAATCAATGAGTACAGAACGACCTTGCTGGCAAAGTTTTCGGACAATTGTAAGTGACACCGCTTGTGAGTTTGATTGATTAGATTAGAACTAATACTAACTCAACGTCCACAACATAGCCCTACTACAATTTCACCTACACACTCTACAATTGTTTCTATGCCAGGCTTGCTTATTTGATAAACATGAAACAGCCAACTATTCGGCTTCGTCCGCGCCTCGCTCCCATGCAGACTCAGGGCTCCCACCACATCTCCAAAGTGGCCACCAACCGTTAGACTTATCACCCTTCCAGGTTGAATTTCTCAATCGCGGCATGACTGAAGCAAAAAGATTCTTTGATTACATTTTCAAATTTGCTCCGGATACTTATCGACTGATCAGCCATACGCAATGGCTGCAAATAGGCTTTAACTTGGTTCTAGGCTGCAAACTGGCCGTCACGGGGGCAAAATACGCCCCACGCAGTCCGCATGTTCGTGCCCTATGCTCGGCTTTGAATATGCCGCATGTTCTGCGGGCCGCGTTGCAACGGATCCAATGGCTCAGCAAGGACAGAGTGACTGTAGATGGGAAACAGCACTCCAAATACTTCTACGAGGCATGGCTGTGGCATATTCTTGAATGGTTCGAGCAAAAGTATCACCTGGTGCCCTCTGAAGATACGACCCAAATACCTACAGGATTACCCGATGGCGGCCTCGGACCGTCTACTTTGGCCAACAGCGCAACCTCGCAGGATGTCCCCCTGATGGGTGAAAGTTATGGCGCCACACAAGTACCACAGGTAGATGATACTGCCTTATGGCCGGACTTCCTCTGGAACATAAGCACGGATGACATACTCAATGGGTATATGGGGTTTCCGGATATGTCGTGTCCCACATTACAGCCTGGACATGACGTGCCACTGCCATGAGAACAAAAGACGTTGACACTATGCGAATGCATAACACCAAAAGAGACCAAATAAAAAAACCAGCTTGTTCCCGCGGTGGCATCGCTTTAACTCAAATTTGTTGCTGTTTACACCAATAATCCAAGCTCAACAGGGGCTGATTTGATTTGGTCCTCTTGGATCTCGCGAATCAACGCATTACTCGTGTAGTCTTCCAGATCTAGATCCATGTATCCGCTGGATTCCCATTTCCTTCCTGAGACAAAGAAGGAATGCCCATTAACACTCCTGACGCTGAGGATTCTCAGCAGGTACTGCGTTGCGTCTTCTGCCTGTGCAAACTCTACCCCAACGCTGGAAACATGCTTGAACGCCTCATCCGACAGAATGTTTGTGTTCACATACCTTGTGACTTGATCAGCAATTGTACTTCTCAGAATAAAGCGGCCGTGCTTACCATGGGGAGATGACGTTGACCCGACTACCATAGAAGAAAGCAGTTCTTCTCAATGAATGCATGATCCCGCGCATGGCCCATTTGCTCGCACAATATTGAGGGGGCCGCGGACAGTCCAAAAAGGCTGCCCCTGATCCAATCAAAATCAAAGATGTATCTTCTTGCTCGGGTGAGTTTTTCGTGCCATTTTGACGGATGAAATGGTGGGCGCAAGACCCAGGAAGAATGGATCCGTTGGTGTATCGCATTTGAGAAGAAGCTGTGTCAGGCGCTGTAAAGCCAGATCCTCGAGTCCGGAGAACAAAAACTGGCGTGCAAAGCAGTAAACCTGCTGCGGCTGTTTGGATAGTCCCTGCTGGCAAACCAGCTTGCAAACACCAACTCAAAGGTGTTAGCGGTCATTCTTCCGAAAACGCTTCGTTTAAGATTTTGGAGTCAGGCACCGATGACCCTACTTTGGTAGAGAGGAAGGCTTGTTGTGCTGAAAGGTATATTCGTTAACAGCGAACAGAATTAGAAGGGGAGTATGGAATGTACTAATCTGATCATCGTCGTTTCTCTCTTTAATTTGTTCACCAACAAATTTTCGACTACTACACTATATGGTCAAAATGACCCTAGGAGGTGCCCATAGACTAGCAATGTCGCAGTCTACTAGTAATAAACTAGATAAACCTTTAAAATTGAGCTCCATGATATCGATAGGCTGCAGTCCACTAGAGCCCGTTACTAGTTGCCCATTGGCCCCCATATTTGGTACCATCATGTCTCCGTGAGGAGACGCATCAACCTGGGGTAGTGGAGTTACCCCAGCCTTTTCACAGGTTAAAGTGGAGACAATCACAGGCCTTCGCCAGTGAGGCTTAAAGTTCACCGTGGAAATTTGGTACTAAGCAAAAAGAAAAGTAGATCAAAAATCATGTATCATGTATTTACAACACAATAGTGGTAGGCTGCATATCGTTCACGAAGTTGATTATGAACCTCATTCACTAGGCTGAGAACGGACTCGTTTTTGGTCTAGTTGGGTAAACCGACTCGCGAGGGGTCAGCGTAAATGAAATCATCCCTCCATCTATCCATCCATCCATGCTGTACATACTGCAGGACCCCCATTTGATTATCATCCCCTATGGGAGGTTACTAGTAGAGAGAGTGACCCTGCGACTGTTTTTGTGAACAAGGTGTAGTTTCCGGGTTTGTTCAAGCCATGCGAATGTGACTTTTGAATTAGATATAACACGGACATACAAATTGCTAACTCACAAGTTCTATCCATGCACAATCTATCCAACCCCCCACGGTCGAGGCCTCATCACGGCCGATTTCTTTCGAGTCCGTCCAGCTCATGCACCTCGGTCACATTGCTGTCCAACTCCTGTATCGGCTCTGGCTTTTGTGCTCCATGCACACCGAGCCCGTAGCTCTGGCCCGGCGCCCATTTATGCTGCGACATATCCTCGCTCACGGTACTATTTGAGTAGATTTCTGAAATCGGCCGTCCGCTTTCTGAGGGTAGTCCGGGAGAGAGCGAGGGCAGGCTGATGCCTGCTGAGGAAGTTGACATGTATTTCGGGTCCTTTCCTGCTCCTGTTGTCGTGCCGGCAGGGCTGGAGAATTGCGAGTCTAAGCAAACGCAATAAATATCAGCCAATGGACTTGGATAGATCCAATCCGGAAGGAAACTGGTACATACTATGGTACTGCGACCCCGGGGATGGATACATCCTGTGATTCTCGCCCTCGACAACAAACGGCGTGTGCCCGTGTCCACTCATCGCAGCAGCTTTCTTGTTCCTTCTCCGCATGAAGAACCAGACGAGCGCTCCAACAATCACCAGCGCCGCAACAGCCCCAACCACGATTCCCGCGATCGCGCCGCCGGATAACCCACCCTCTCCGCTACTACCCTCATCATCGTCATCGCCTGTGCCCTCGTCCTGGAAAAGCGCAAATTGACCCCGACTGGACGAGCTCCACGCAGCGGCAAGTAAGTCTTCGGCCGGACACCCTTTTGTGCAAGCATTGCTCGAGCAGCAGCCGAGGAAGGGTGGGTCCGTGAAGTTGCAGGAATACCAGTTCGCGTTCGCGGAGCCGATGCACGAGTTGGGCAGGATATCGTCGTAGATGGAGGTGTTAAAGGAGGCGGGATAGACGTCGGGGCATGGCGAGGTGCTGTTTGCGTCGACGTTTGTGCATGGGTCCGAGGAGCAGCAGCCGAGGTAGTACGGCGCGTTCGGGCACACGTACCAGGTGCCGCCTGACGGGCAGGTGAAGTGATTCGAGCTCGAGTTCGACATTATGATTACAGTTGTGTTTTATCTTAATAAAGACTATTGCCTGCGAGAAAAAAAGAACCTAGGAATGGAGAATGGAAGAAACCTGAAAACTGCGGGTCAGGAGCGTTTCACCGAGCCAGGACCCCTGCATTTCGAAGAAAACTCAGCAGGCCCAACGCTGTGGGGAGTTCTTAACAGTAGGATGATTGTTGCTAGGTAGAGCTGACTGAGGCTGAGAGCTTGGCTGCCTCGGACTGGCGTTGGAGCTACTGCAGGCGTGGCCGAGGCCAGCGAATTTTGCGTGTCTTTGATTGGCGGGTTCAGTGCAGGATTCTAGGGAAAGAGATCAGACCTGCTGCGCACTGCTAGATGCGTTGTTAGCGCAGAGACAGGCTTGGGGGCCAAATTTCTCCTGCTGTTACGGCTGATGGGAGAAAGGGAATTGAGGGCAAGACCAGCACCCAACGGCGGTCGCTCTTATGTATACATAGATTCAGCCCTATGCTGCATAACAACTTTAAGAATCATTTTCCTCATCTATTATAATATCCCCCTGCTGGGTTCGTGTTTCAACTTTCAACGCCCAACTTTCAGGGATCCAGTCTCAGCCCCAAAAGCCAACGAAGCGGAGCTAAGACGGCACCTTGGCTGCATTTGTGGATATCATATCGCAAAGCTAACATAATTCCCAACTTGAACCAAGTTAAACAGCTAACTTGGTTACCTCTTGAAAAACTCATCACGTGGAGTAAAAAATGAGTGTTTGGCAACATAGATGTAGTCAAACCAGCTGATGGCTTGTGGGACGTATTTGTACGAGGCGTGCGGGGCGCATCACGCGCCCGGCGAGCAGTCGAGAGGTGCTAAAGCGGAGTCTCTGGTAGTGCAGGAATAATGCGTCACCTACAGCTGCAAAGCGGTCCGTGCTTTCCGCTTGTTAGGGAATCGGGTAATATCACCTATGTTGTAGACTCGAAGAGCTACCTTGCGGGAACGAGTGATCAGCGACTGTGGGGACACAACGTGGCAATGTGATGTGATGCGATGCAGTGCGATCCATCACACACTGTATGAGCGCTTTTGCCCGCCTGATTGCAAGGTAGGGGTAGGCGGTAGGAGGGGCGGCATATAGGCCGACATCTGTATGGCTGACTGCTAGAGCAGAGCCAGACGACAAATGTAATACCTGTTCTAACACCATACAAGACCTCGATAGAACGAATCCTACTTTCGCAGTGGCTTTCAGTTTGGTGACCCCGGTTTTCAATCAAGTATAAGGCAGAAAGGAGGAATTTTCTGATCGGTCTTAACGACTCGAATTCTTTGTCGGCTATCTAAATTATCCGCTGGCTCTGCCGCATTACAGCGCGATTGCTGAATACGCTAATCTCATGATAGAGCCGACCAACAGAGCATTATATGGATCAGTCCACAGAATAGGCAATCAGCAGTCAGATAGCCATTACATAGTATCCCTAGGTTCAATAGAAGGCGGGAACGCTACGCTGCCCAACCGAACCCTACAAAATATATTCATAAACAGCCTAATCAAGGCAACTTTTGTGGAACAACCTACAGTAATTACTTTCACTGATGAGAAATCTATATATCTATAGCTTGTATACTTAAATTTGAGAAACTAAATAATACTCTCTTATATTCCATGCCCGAATCTCCTGCTTAGCCCTACGCTTTTCCTCCGATCTCGAAGCAGCTTATCCTCGGCTTTCGATCTCTTTTTGTGGGTAGAATCGTGTTTTACCACCGCCATTTCACATTTCTTCTGCGCCTTAACAATATCGTCGTAGCTTATCACTTTTATAAGTCCTATAACCGTCTGGCCACTAGCTTACCGGGAGGTCTTTTCATTATTCTACTTAAAAAGGATTCGGTTCTCCTCTAGCAATAAGGCGCGCTTAGTAAAGACCTTTTTAGCCGCGCGGCTTCATGTCTGAAGATGATATCTATATATAATATCTAGGCTCCGAGTATCTTGCTCTATCTCTCTATAAAGCAAGGCGAAGTAATCAGAGGTATTTAGAGTGTGACAGAGACAGTCTTCCGCAAAACCCATTTTGGGTCGAAGGTCTCGACCCAGAACCCAACCCAGACCCAGTGACTGGGGCCCCAGAAAACCAGTACAGGCCCAGTTCGACCCAGTTTCTACATAAAATGGGGTCTTGGCAGTCACAAACCAGCTAAATCAGCAGAATTATACACATAATTAGCGTGTTTGCTTAGTTTGTAACCCAATTTGGGGCCCCAGACCCAGTACTGGGCTACCCAGTCCGAACCAGACCCATTACTGGGTCGTGCGGAAGACTACCCGCGGGTCACTGCCAGGTCTACGTAGGGTTCTCGCACAGTATTAGCCTATAGGTAGTTTATAGCCCCGCTATATAGGCATAAGAATCCCGGAATAGTATAGGGTGAGAAAAAGCTGTTTTATTCTAGGCGCTATCGACAGAGCCGACGAAGGAAGGCAGCATAGATAGTAGTAGCGGCGATGGGAGGGATTATATAGAACCACGCGCGGTGACGCATAAGGACAAAGAGCGCTAAACCCCAACTGGACCAACTAAACTACACAGCGTAATTCGCTATCCCCTTCCGATATGGTGTAGTGGCTAACATCGCCGTCTCTCACACGGCAGCCGGGGGTTCGATTCCCCCTATCGGAGTTTTTTTTTTTGTCTTTCATTTTTCCCCTCCTTTTTTCAGGAGTATTTCATATGCAATCCAGGCCAAAATCTTGAAAATCTTCCAAGTTTCCGTGATTGTTATAGGTCGCTCCAGATTTCTCTCAGGTCCCACCAACGATATACCGCCTTCCTAACTAGACTCATTTTGTTCCTCACTTCTCTCTTGATTTCAACAATCTAGATTCTTTTCTCCCTCCGTATGTTGTATAACCTGACAACCCCCAACCATCTCACCGTGGGGTCACTTCGCTCTCCTATTCGAATTCG